GTGTCTTTGGGGATCCAGGACAGGCTTGTACAATGTCACAGGGTAAAGGTCATTACGATACAGATAGATTTCCATAGCAACATAATCTCACCTTCCATGGCGTATTAGGTCGCTAGGGCTGTGGTAATAAGTTGCCACAGACTGGATGTCTTTTTTCTCGCAATTCTGGAGGCCAGAAGGCTAAGATCAAGGTGTTGGTAGGGTTTGTTTCTTCTGAACGAAAGGGAAGGGATCTGTCCCGCACCTCTACCCTTGGCTTGTGGACGGCTGTCTTCCTGTGTCTTCACGTCGTCTTCCCTTTAGACGTGTCTGTGTCTGAATTTTCTCTTCTTAAAAGGACACCATTCATTTTGGATTAGGGCTCACCTCATGATCTCATTTTAATTATCCATGTAAATATTATATCTCCTATATTCTATTTAAATACTGCATCTCTTATATTCTACTATATTCTAAGGCACTGAGGGTCAGGACTTCAATGTATGAACTTTAGGGAGGACAGATCAGTTTTTCCATATTACACTCTCAACCCCATTTCTCAGCAGCAGCCAAGGTGAAATACCAGAGCTCTTAGTTTATACTCAAGCAGCCAATTCCCCAACGGCCTCGAGATTCTGCTCATGCTTTGCATTATCCAGGTGGAGCAGGGTTGGCCTGCCAGCATGTCTCCTTTCGGCATGCTGAAGGAACAGCCACAGGGCATGGGCTAGCTGACTTTTTTCTTTTTTTAAAAACAAACCAAAACAAAACAAAAACCAAAAAACTCTATGTTATTATCACTGCGATGAAACGATACTTTCTTCTTTGGAAATTGGTTCTTTCCTCATCTTGGAAAGTGCTATGAGCAGTCTGAAGGGCTTTGATTGTTTTTGCCATCATTATTATGGTCGAACTGCAGTTTTAGATGAGGAATGTATTTCAGGAGTATCCTGGGGCTGGCATTTATAAGGAGGCTCTGAAATGTGTGCACATTGAGAGGATCCTGAGGAAAGCCGGTGAGGCTCTTCCACTGTTTCTGTGAAGATCCTTAAGTAAAAAAAAGCATAAACTTGCCTTAGGAGAAAAAAAGTTTTGCCTTTAGAAATCATTTGAAAGAGGTGATGTTCCAAGGTCACGTGAGGGGTTTCCCAGCTTCTGTCTTTGGTGGGGGAGGGGCATCTACTATTTAAGTAAGAGAGAAGCGGGGGCTCCTTGAAGAAAATGCCACCTTACTCGATCAGAATGTACTCAGGCGCTTAGCTTTCTTGTCTCCACCACTGACCAAAACGTCGAGTGTCTGTAACTTAGGACGCCTGCTCACTCATCTATGACTCTCACAATGAGAAACGATGCTATCCCACATCAGGTCCTTCTTGGGCTTATTTCTGGTACTGAGGTGTGGATAATATAGACTCCAGCACGTGGCACAGGGGTGTTTGGATTCTTAGGTGATAATTTGATGCTTCTGGCATTACTATTAAGCACTTTCTGATTGGGTCACCTCACAGATTGTGTTGCTTAAACCAACAGCTCATCCTTAGTTTCTACAGTGTTGAGCTGAACGTCAGGGCATTTTCTACTATTGGCTCATCAGACATCAGAGACAAAGGGGCTGCTCTATTCTTGGAAGGAAATAGCCGTGGACACTGGGAGCATCATTAGTTGTCATTATGAAAGGGGCAGAATAAAAACACTTGGAAAGAGAATCCTAGCTTGGGGATGGAAATAATACAGGGTTCACCCAAACAGGGAAACATGGTCGGGGAAGACAGAGGCGGTTTTTATTCTTATTTCTTTTTTTCATATTTAGATGTCCATATAGTAACCAAATACCTTTAAGTGATTGGGAACTTTTGTCAGTTTCCAGACCATTATATCTTGAATTAAGACGTGATACATAGTTGAGACAGACAAAAATAATTGTTTGCCAAACATTTATTAATTTTTTATACAGTCCAATTATTTCAACAAGAATGTCTCCACGGTAGTATCAATAGGCCTCAAAGGATTGTGGGCTGATAGGTCTTATCACGGGCCTGTAGGAACTTGCCCCTCTGTTTACAGATTTTTCCCTTTCCCTCCCCCAAAATGCTCTCTGATCTCTTTTTGGCCCTAGAGTAACAGAGATGTTTACAGGATCCCGAGCAGGTTCTCTCTCAGCTAAAATGAACAAAGGTAGTAATATTCTCAAACTCATTAAAGATTGGGGGAAGAGAACTGAGCACTATAGACTACAGCAGACAGTTTGAAAATGTGAGCTCTGGAGTTGTTTGAGAAACAGTTTACTTTCGTTTTATGAGATTTTTAAGTACTTATGGAGTTAAGTATAAAAAAATCTAATTCAAATTCTAAGTCTTCAAGTTAAACCTCATCCTTAACAGATATTTCTCCCAGTTATGGGCTGATTGCACAGGGAGTTTTTCTGTAGAAGCCAGTTCCCCTGTAGTATTCAAGGGTTGTAAAAATTCGTCCCCTTGTGGAATCTGTGCTAATGATGCCACAAAAGATGAGAGGCTATTTGGAGGTAAATATTAATGTAATTTAGGCCCAAGAAGAGATATCGACTTGAACTTTAAAAATATCTAAACTCTCCACAAGATGGATCAACCATTAAAAAAAAAAAATAGACCCAATTCTTTTGAATCTCACATCACCATATTATTCTTGTTACTTTTGAAAGCAATAGATTAACATGTCTGCAAACAAAACTCCTTGAGGAAGTTAAATGATTTGTTTTTTTTTTTTTAAATGCACACCACGTTTGCACCAAAGAGCAAAGACATTTTGCAGTGAAGAACTACTTGAGGAAGAATAAAAGGCAGAAGTACAAAGTATTATAGTTTAAGATTTTGGAAAAAAGACATATTCTAACATCAGAGTTTCCCCACAACCAGAAACATTTGAGTCATTTGGTACCCAGTGTTGGCCACTCTCCCCTGCGGAAGCTTTGGCAGGTGTCGGGGTGCGGCAGCCTCTCAAGGACGGTATTGGGATCTCTGCTCCTGGATGTACTCGTAGAGAGGGCTGGAGCGCACCGGGGCGCGGGCGAACTGACGCTTGCCGGGCTCGGGGACCTGCTGACCGCCCTTGTCGCTTTCCTCCCAGACTTGGCGGCGCCTCTGCGCCTCCTCCTGCTCTTCTTGCCGCAGGTCCTGTCCCTCACGACGCCTCTTCTCCTCGCGCGCAAACTGCTCCTCCGCCGGGTACCGCCGGTCCCGCTGCTGCCGGCGCCTCAGCTCCGACCGCTGTCCGCGCTGCAGCTGCTCCTCCTCCCCGCGGAGCTGCGCGTCCCGTTCCTGCGGCTCCTCTTGGAACTGTCTGTCGCGCTCCTGGCGACGCAGCTGCTGTTCCTCCTCTTGGAACTGTCTGTCGCGCTCCTGGCGACGCAGCTGCTGTTCCTCCTTTTGGAACTGTCTGTCGCGCTCCTGGCGCCGCAGCTGCTGTTCCTCCTTTTGGAACTGTCTGTCGCGCTCCTGGCGCCGCAGCTGCTGTTCCTCCTTTTGGAACTGTCTGTCGCGCTCCTGGCGCCGCAGCTGCTGTTCCTCCTTTTGGAACTGTCTGTCGCGCTCCTGGCGCCGCAGCTGCTGTTCCTCCTTTTGGAACTGTCTGTCGCGCTCCTGGCGCCGCAGCTGCTGTTCCTCCTTTTGGAACTGTCTGTCGCGCTCCTGGCGCCGCAGCTGCTGTTCCTCCTTTTGGAACTGTCTGTCGCGCTCCTGGCGCCGCAGCTGCTGTTCCTCCTTTTGGAACTGTCTGTCGCGCTCCTGGCGCCGCAGCTGCTGTTCCTCCTTTTGGAACTGTCTGTCGCGCTCCTGGCGCCGCAGCTGCTGTTCCTCCTTTTGGAACTGTCTGTCGCGCTCCTGGCGCCGCAGCTGCTGTTCCTCCTTTTGGAACTGTCTGTCGCGCTCCTGGCGCCGCAGCTGCTGTTCCTCCTTTTGGAACTGTCTGTCGCGCTCCTGGCGCCGCAGCTGCTGTTCCTCCTTTTGGAACTGTCTGTCGCGCTCCTGGCGCCGCAGCTGCTGTTCCTCCTTTTGGAACTGTCTGTCGCGCTCCTGGCGCCGCAGCTGCTGTTCCTCCTTTTGGAACTGTCTGTCGCGCTCCTGGCGCCGCAGCTGCTGTTCCTCCTTTTGGAACTGTCTGTCGCGCTCCTGGCGCCGCAGCTGCTGTTCCTCCTTTTGGAACTGTCTGTCGCGCTCCTGGCGCCGCAGCTGCTGTTCCTCCTTTTGGAACTGTCTGTCGCGCTCCTGGCGCCGCAGCTGCTGTTCCTCCTTTTGGAACTGTCTGTCGCGCTCCTGGCGCCGCAGCTGCTGTTCCTCCTTTTGGAACTGTCTGTCGCGCTCCTGGCGCCGCAGCTGCTGTTCCTCCTTTTGGAACTGTCTGTCGCGCTCCTGGCGCCGCAGCTGCTGTTCCTCCTTTTGGAACTGTCTGTCGCGCTCCTGGCGCCGCAGCTGCTGTTCCTCCTTTTGGAACTGTCTGTCGCGCTCCTGGCGCCGCAGCTGCTGTTCCTCCTTTTGGAACTGTCTGTCGCGCTCCTGGCGCCGCAGCTGCTGTTCCTCCTTTTGGAACTGTCTGTCGCGCTCCTGGCGCCGCAGCTGCTGTTCCTCCTTTTGGAACTGTCTGTCGCGCTCCTGGCGCCGCAGCTGCTGTTCCTCCTTTTGGAACTGTCTGTCGCGCTCCTGGCGCCGCAGCTGCTGTTCCTCCTTTTGGAACTGTCTGTCGCGCTCCTGGCGCCGCAGCTGCTGTTCCTCCTTTTGGAACTGTCTGTCGCGCTCCTGGCGCCGCAGCTGCTGTTCCTCCTTTTGGAACTGTCTGTCGCGCTCCTGGCGCCGCAGCTGCTGTTCCTCCTTTTGGAACTGTCTGTCGCGCTCCTGGCGCCGCAGCTGCTGTTCCTCCTTTTGGAACTGTCTGTCGCGCTCCTGGCGCCGCAGCTGCTGTTCCTCCTTTTGGAACTGTCTGTCGCGCTCCTGGCGCCGCAGCTGCTGTTCCTCCTTTTGGAACTGTCTGTCGCGCTCCTGGCGCCGCAGCTGCTGTTCCTCCTTTTGGAACTGTCTGTCGCGCTCCTGGCGCCGCAGCTGCTGTTCCTCCTCTTGGAACTGTCTGTCGCGCTCCTGGCGCCGCAGCTGCTGTTCCTCCTTTTGGAACTGTCTGTCGCGCGCCTGGCGAAGCTGTTGCTCACGCCCCTGGCGACGCAGCTGCTGCTCCTCCTCGCGGAACTTGCTGTCTTCTTCCCGAAGGCGTCTTTTCTCTCCTCTTTCCTCCTTCAGCAGCTGCTCTTCCTCTGGAAACTTCCTGTCTCGCCTTTTGGCTTCCTTTTGCTCCTCTCGCTCCCGCAGCGCTTCGTCTGGGAATCGCCTGTCGCGCTGCCGCCAGCTCTTCCTCTCCTGTTCTCTCGCTCCCTCCTCCTGCTCATCCTGCAGGGGCCACGGATCCTGCTGGAATCGTCTCTCGCGCACCTGGGAGTCTTCCAACTGCCGGATCTTTTCTTCGGTCTCCGCGCGTTTGGTGTAAACCTCGTCGTTACGACCTTCATTTTCTTTTTCTCGTCGCCCCTGCCATTTCAGATCACGGCGCTGATCCTCATCCCCGAACGGCCGCTTCCTGTCCCCGCGCTGCACCTTCTTTTCTTCCTCTTCCTCTTCCTCCTCCTCCTCCTCCTCCTCCTCGAGGTACTGCTGCTTCCTTCTTCTTCCTCCTCCTCCTTCTTCTTCTTCTCTCCCTCAAATTCCAACAGTAAGCAGGAGAGGGACTAGATTTGTGCTACTACCACATTATAGCCAAAAGAAACTTACATCTCCCACCACCCACCCTCCCCCCGCCAGTCTAGCTTATTAGAAGAGACACTTTGCCCTACCTGTT